TCTCTCTCTCTCTCTCTCTCCCTCCCTCCCCCGTCCCTACCTATCCCACAAATGAACACACGAGCAAATGCTTCACAAACACATCAGCTTTTCCTACCAGACTGGACTGACTAACTCAGTCCACCACAACTTCCACTAATCTACTGATGAGTGGTTCAACTAACCTGCTCCCAGTTCATGCGCAAAGTAAATTTACTACCAATAAGTTGTGGACTGACTGACTGACTGATTGATTGATTGATTGATTGGTCCGCCAGCGAGCTGTGGAACAACAGCTAGCTGGCCATACCCAGCAAACAGAGCCCAGGGTCAGAAATAAAAATTGAAACAGTTGGAACAAACAATGGCACGAAAACTTCAAAAAGCGGAAACCCATTCAAATACAATGCACCGACGATTAAGGGAAAATTGACAAGAGTAAAAAACGGACAAAAGGAATGGAAATGAGTCATCCAGCGGCCAAAGGGGGATAACCTACTTCCAGCACCAGCTCCAGTCTACCCAAGACTTCTTTGGTGTACACTGCTGACTAGGAGGACCAGCCGGACCCGGCGCAAGAGGTGGGAATGTTGGCATAGGCAGCATCGGCATGACAGGATAAGCCGGCGGTGGAGGTGGTGGTGGGGACCACACAACTGCATTTATCCGACGCCCAGAGGCCAGCAATCCAATGTCTCCTAATGTCATATCGTCCGCAAGCTCCGCCACGTCAGACCCATCCGCCGTCATAATCTGCAGCCTCTCGATCCTATCGTCTTCTCCTATATGGCCATTGCGCTTGGCTCGCCTCTGAAACCATCACCATAGCAATGCCGTTGTCCACAGACAAAATGCAGCAGCCACAAAACAACAACACGTTAAAGCAATGGCTAATGAGTCTAATGACCTCAGTACATCCTTTTTCACATCACAAATCGATAACATTGGGCTCAGGGGGGGGAGGGGGCACTGGGCCTCCCTCCTAACAAGGGGGTCCGCAAGGGGAGGAAATCTTTTTTTCTTTCTTTTTTCTTTTTTTAACTGAACCTTACGGTTCTCCTTTTCCATTCTGGCGTACGGTTCCTATTCCACCGTCAAGTCAAAAGCCATTATGGTTGGGAGGCCCAAGTGGATGGCATTGACTACTTCCTGAAGGAAGAATTTACCACCCCTCCTTATCCCTGCCTAAGTTAGGCCCATTAGTCTACCGTCTTCACCCGAACAGAACGCCCAGTCATTATAGCTGCATTTGGCACACAACTTCCAGTCCAGATGCAGCTATAATTCCCGGGTGTTTTTGTTCGGGTGAAGACGGTAGCTCCTAAACTTGCTCTGGTTTTCCACGCTCTAATAAGCCCTGACTGGGCCTGTTACTATCTTTGAGGCTAATGCTGTTTTTTTCTCCAGTCATTATAGCTGCATTTGGCACAACTTTCAGTCCAGATGCAGCTATAATTCCCGGGTGTTTTATTCGGGTGAAGACGGTAGTTCCTGCTCTGGTTTTCCACGCTCTAATAAGCCCTGACTGGGCCTGTCACTATCTTTGAGGCTACTGCTGTTTTTTTCTGATACCTGCCGTGTGTGCTCTTGTCATGAAGGGGACCGATTTTTTTTAATTTTTTTTTCCGAATAATTGCTCCAATCTATTCGTGGGCCGATTCTAATCCACCCAGGTGCTTATGTTGTAAAAAGGGGATCAAAAGATCCTACGATTGCTGCATTTATAAAGTATTTTTTGAACTCGTCATTTTCACCGTCAAATCCAGCCAACCATCACTTGTGTGTCACATTCACTCTCCCATCACGTGCATGGACTAAAAAAAAAAGAGGGAAGGGGGGG